GAGTACCTCAGAGCAGTGATTCTCAATTCTGGTGATTGTGCAAAATGAATTGACAACCGTCCCAAATTATTTTATCTCTTTTTACTATATCTTAGAATCACTTATGAGAAACCTTATGAGAAACCACAAAAGCAAAGATTTGATTTAACTGCTTAAGATCAATTTGCACCACATCAGCAAGAGACAACATTTGTTTGAGTTTCTTACACCGACTGCCCTCGACAAAACACGCCGTTCCTGATGGATTAGTGACTCAGCTTCAGTGAAGGCCTTGGGATTCACTAGCTTGTGAGTGAGTGGAAGTTGTCCGGGTTACTGGGATGACAGACTCTGCTGAGAGTCGGTTTGCATAAGTTTTTTTTTTTTTTGCAGTTTCGGCGGTTCCTAAACTTTAAGAGGTTGCATGGAAAGTTTTTGCGACCGTTTAAGTGGCTGTGCAGTGTCCGAAAGCAAGGCGAGAGGGGGCAGAGAGTAGCAGCGAGCATGAGTGAGCTAATGCAAAAAGCAAAGTTTTACTGTTGCAGTTTTTAAGTAATCTGGTTTGCTCCATCCCAATGGCACTGTCTTCCAATGAGCAGTTGCCATGGAGGGCGGGCCCACACTCCATACCATTATTCTCAGTGTAAGTCATTAACAGACTGCTTGGGAATTTCATGTAGTAAAATATCTTGTAAGTTTGTTTCTATTGTACACAAAATGTTACAAGAAGACATTGCTCTAGCATGAAACAGTCAATGAAAAGGTTTTGGAAAGTGATTTATAGCCTGCGCTCACTCTCAGATTAGAGGCTTCTAGAGAAGATGTAGACCTTCAGCAGTAGGTGGAGGTAAAAGGGTGCAGTGCCAGTGATTTAAACTTGATATGAGCCTCGAGTGGTAACCAATGCAGAGACATAAAGAGAGGAGTTGGCTCTCATTGAAGACCATATGAGCTGCGGTGTTCTGGAGCATCTGTAGAGGATTAAGGGTGCAGGATGGGAATCCAGCTAGAAGAGAACTGTCGGGGTCCAGCCTTGAAATGACAAGAGTTTGCACTAAAATTTGTGCTGCATGATCTGTTAAGAGGTGTCTGATTTTTCTGATGTTGAAAAGTGCAGCTCTGCACGATGGAGCTGTGTTAGCAATGTCCTCTTTGAAGGAAAACTGATCATCCAGTATCACCCTAAGGTTTCTTACCGAACTACATGGAGTAATGGTGGATGATCCCAGCTTGATTGAGAAATTGTATTGAATGTGTGGAGTTAAAGGGAAGGTGATGTATGCAGATGAGTAAGCAGTTCACTAGCTGGCCTCCGTTACATCTGCTTAAGTAGACTTCTAATTTAATTTTTTTTTTTTTGTGTGTGTAAAGAAGGAGTCCAGCTGATAGGGAGTTGGTGGAGGTGGACAGAGCAGGGTATAAAATGCCCTGAATAGTTTGCGGATGTCTGAAGTGGTGTTAATTTTGTAATGGTAGTATGGGAATTTGGCCGAATGGAGTTGGGAGGTTAATGATGCCAGCTGGGTTTGGTACTTGCTAAGGTCAGTGGAGGATTTTGATTTGTGCCATGATCTCTCTGTTGCCCTGGGTGCTGTTCAATGTTATCTCAGAACATGCCCTAACCCCAACACTAACCATTCTCCCAGACCATCTGACAGCCAGGGGTTAGAGGGAGTAGGGTGCATTGGTCTGGTGGCAACAGGACAGATCTCACTCAGGCAGGATATTAAAGTAGAACAGAGTGTTTCTGCTGCACTATTTACATCAAGAAGTGAGAAATGTGTGTGAGGGAAGAGAGGATTTAACAGTTGAGAAGTGTGTGGAGGACAAACCAATTTTTACTAGTAGCAATTTAGTTGTTGAAATCAACAATTGTATTCTTGAAATCAACAATTAAGTCTGAATGGCAGCCTACATTTAGTGAAGTTTCACAAACTAATTTCGAGAGAAGCACGTAATATGATTGACTGCAGATGGTCTCTCATCTACAATCATTAGTTAGCCAATCAGATTTATCCAAACTCACTATAAGAAGCCTGGCAAAAAATGACTCCCTTATCTTCATTTTCCGAAGAAAGCTCTTGACAGGACTGCGCCAGCTCCATCACAAGCTTCTAAAATTCAACATCTCTCTACAACCCATCAACAATTCTAAAAACATCATCTGACTACAACAAATCAACAACAACAGCAGCAATACAATAACAGCGGAAATAACAAAACAGCAGCATCAAATCTACTCTCACATCATCGACAGCAACATGGACGGAGACAAAATCTCCGCTCTCCCTGAAACACCAGCCCTGGCTCAACAACACCAAGCTCAGCCTGGAAGCAGACTTGAGACCGAGGCTCCAATAAGAGGCTGAAGGCCTATCCGCTCTACGTCCGCAAGGACACAATCCCCATCTTCTGTCACTCCAAATCGCCACCCACCTTCACCAGCTTCTTCATACGCCTCCGCAAGATCATCATCCCTCACTTCCAATAAGATGACAGTGACCGAACTCCACCAGACCCTCATAAATGCTGGAATCTCTATCCGCAGCCGCTGCAATAAAATGGAACTACTAAAATTCTATGAATCCATCTCGTCACCAATTCCACCCTCTCAGGACAGCAGAACCGCTTGCTCTCGCCACACCCCCTATCCTCAGCCCACCGCTCGCTCCCGCCACACCCCCTATCCTCAGCCCACCGCTCGCTCCCGCCACACCCCCTATCCTCAGCCCACCACAGCCCCGCATGCACGAAATCTCCCCGGACCATCAAAGAAAGCAACTAAGAAAAGCAATAAAAACCAATTCCACGGAAAAAGACAAACTGCACCTACCATAACATTCCAAAACATCGACAATTCACCGGATGACACCACTCTCTGACTTCCCATTCCCTTCCCTTGGCCTCCAGCTCCACATTCCAGTGAAAACTCCAGCCCTACTCATCCAGTCATCCCTTCCACTCTTAACCCTCCTTAATTCTATTTCCCTTCTAACCTCCATCATTTTTCAAGCCTTGAACTGACCTGATCTAATCCTGTATATATGAAATTAGCCTGTTCCTTAGCAGATTTGAGCTACCAGAACTATTGCGGACAACAACTCTCAGAAGAGTTTGGAAGAACTAAACGATCCTGGATCGTGTGAAATCATCACTAACCAAATCCTGTTAACTGAGTTATCCACATACGAACAATGGACCCCAGGACAAGATGAACAAAAAGGGAGGAAAAAACGAAAATGAAGAGAATGAAGTACAGTTATCAGGACAAGATGAACAGTGGTCACAAATGGAAATATGGGACAGTTTTAAAACTTTTTTAAGCCCTGTGGAAAAAGAGGAACTAAGAAAGACTGGTCAAGCTGAAGGAATGGCAAAGGATGAAGAAACAAGGATGGAAAATGTGGATAAGAACAAAGTGGAAAGAGGATTTTTAAGAAGAAGAACTTAGGAAGGTAAAACCAAACTTGGACATGGCAAAGAAAAAAGTTTTAACAAAGAACAGAGCTAAATATGTAAATAGGTATGAAGTGTTCAGGTGACTGGAAGAAGATGAAGAAAAATGATGTTTTTTAAATATTTTATCTATTTTAAAATGCTTTTAATCTTTGTCTCTTTTAACAGAAGGAGTTTTTGGTTGAAAGCGTTGAAAGGAGATGAAGGACAATGAGGATGTGTAGGTTTTTAATTTCATTTTTTTTAATGGTTTTAAACTGTCTTAATGCAAGGGGACTGATGGGAAAAGATAAATTTGAGAAAATAAGAGAGAAATGTAAAAACAAGGAAGTGATAGGTGTCTTTTCACACATTTTAAAAATAACAACTATTTGTAAGCGAAGTTCTTATCCAATACCAGTTTAATACCTCAAATAATTATACATGTGAGGCATCACAGTGGTGCAGTAGGTAGCACTGATCGCCTCACAGTAAGAAGGTCGTTTGTTTGAGTCTCAGCTGGGTCAGTTGACATTTTTGTTTGTGTGTTCTCCCCATGTTCGCATGAGTTTCCTCCAGGTGCTCTGGTTTCCCCCAAGTCCATAGGAACTGTTGAACCATACAGTGGCTGTTTTTTGCCCCTGTATTCTCTTTATTTGCATTCAGCAGAAACAGTTTTGAAATTAGTAGAGGATGAGTAAATGACAGAATTGTAATTTTTATGTGAACTACCCCTTTTAATGCTTATGTAAGTAAAGGTAAATTAAATATTACTAAAGATATTGCTAAAGAATGGCAGGAAACGTGGAACACAGATAATAAGAGACAACAATTCATGTGAAAAAAGAAACCCTATATAGGCCTATGAAGTTGTAGAAATAGAAGAGGTCATAATTATGAGGATGAGATTTGGACTCAGATATTAATAGGAAAGTAATTTGTTGTAGACATACAAGTCATTATAAAGTGGATTAAAAAAAGTTAAGAAAATGTTTAGATTTAAGGTTTGTGAGAGAGAGAGAGCAGACAAAGTGTAAAGTGAAAACCATGGGAGAAATGTATCAATAAGTCATGACTGCAACAGATTGTGGCAAAAAAAGTTAAACAAAAAAGACTTTTATTTTGCCGTGGCGCGTGACGTCATCAGGCAGCGCCGCTTCGTCGCTGTGATTCAACTGGAGAAAGGTTTGTTTTAAAACGTTTACAGATATAAACTGATTTAAAGTTAAAGTTCTAAAATTTTAAGTTTTTTATACGATGCTATATTATGTTCCTGTTGTTGGAAATATTATTTTAACCCTTTATACAACTATTTTAGTATTTTAGTAGTACTATTTTATTCTCAGTAACTGAAGGCTGTTGTTTGAATAAAACAACAGAAAAGTGTATAATAAGTGTTTTAATTAAATGTTTCACCTGATTTCTTTTTGTTAATTACTCTCAAATAAAGAAACCATTGAAGCAAGTGTTGAAGAGAAATTATTTTGTTTCTGTTCATTGTTTTGTTCATTTTGAACTGGATTAAGAGTCCAAACACAGAGAGAAAAACTCCTGCTGAAGCGACTGATCTCCACACTGTTATAAAGATGGCGTTTATTAAAGAGGAGAGTGAAGATGTAAAGATTGAAGAGACATTCACAGTCAAACAGGAAGATCTGCAGGAACAAACAGGTTGGTTTTCATACTGATATATTTTAATATTAAGAACAGGCTACTAAATTAAATCCATCTTGCAGCCCTGAGTGTGCTGCCTAGTTCTCCTAAACGCACAAAAGCACTCATTGAAAGACAGGAATGAGTTTCTTTTGTCACTTGCTCTCGTGTCTTTTGTCATTATTTTAATGTATTATTAGTCTCCCATTTTCTCTACCTTTTTAAGGTTATTGTTTTTCTTGTTCTCCTGCTGTTGGTAAAGCGTCCTTGAGCACTGGTGCTATATAAAATAAACAAAAACAATAAATTAAAGTTCAAATGAGCTGACGATATTTGACCTACAGTATTCTCATAGAAGATATCTGCTATTACGGTGATAGTGTTGACTTTTACTTTTCATTTGCATATGTCACGTTGATCACAATTTTTTCATCAACTTCTTTATGGGTTTAAACTTGTTTCTAGTAGTTGTTACTAGTTCTCACAGATAGTATCTGAGTTAGAATTACATCATTATTATAATAGCTAATTACCGGGGCTGTTGCTTTTAAACAGGGTTTCTGCGGTGCCTTAAATTCCAAAATCTAAATTTTCAATCTACAATCACCAACAACCCATCTCAATAAAACTTTTCATTCAAAAAGGTCATTTTAACTCTATTTATCATAATGGTTTAAATATTTACTTACACTAACATTTGTTTAAACGTGCTCCATTACTGCTGAGGACATCGACCTAGACAGATTGTTGTGCATATATTTTGTTTATTATAGGTTTTAAAACGTTTAAAGCATTTGTTCATTTATTTATTTATTAATTTTAAAGAAAGTTTACTTAGGAAAAAAAGTGTATGGATACAAGTAAAGCTTACTTGTTGCTACACAGAATTTTAAATCTTTTGCTAAAAAATATCTAAAATATAATTTTTAAAAATATTATTTATTATTGTATAATTAAATTATGATATTTTTTCATCGGGCAAAATAAAATCTTTTCATCTTAGCCATTTGAAAAATTCCTTACCCTTTAGCCCTTTATGAGTCTAAAATTTCAGTCATAATGGTCTTAAAAAATCTTTAAAATTCTTAAATTTAACTTGGTGAAACCTGCAGAAACTCTTGTTTAAAGTATGTCAAAAAAACATGGATGCCCCCAATTTTAAACTTGATGAATGAAATGGACACTAAAATAATAAATTGTTCTAAAACATTGTACAGTATTCTTAACTATATGATGTTGCTGTGGAACGATGTGAAACAAAATGAACAAATTATAGTGAAACAATAACGTTTAGCATTGCACTGACTACAACTGACCAACAAACTAGTCTAAAAATGACTTTTTCTGCTTAAGTAATGGATTACAGCATGCTGATAAAATGCAAACATTTGAGTGTAAAATTCTTCAGTATTGACCAAATTCTTCATGTACCAGCAGGCGGCGACATTCAAATCCTTTTTGCTTGAGACTTAAAAAAAATAATAATAATTTTTAGATCCTAAAAACATGGTTCTGCTGCTTAGGCATGTGACGACAACAGTTTACAAGGTATACTGCGGTTAGAAAAAAGTTGATTTTTTAAAACTGCCAAAATGTTCTGCTGTACCATTCCTTTGGTATATGTAAGTTTTTTTTAAATGTTTTGTTTTAAGTTTTTCAGGACAACAGTATCTTCAGCAAAAAAGATATCCAAAGATGCCGTTTTAAATCGTTAAGAAATCTGTTTTTGAAACTAATGCAGACAGTGTGTGATGTGTCTGAAGAGCGAGAAGGGATCCGGGGGTGAGAAAGGTGTGCAACTTATTTGAGGACCGGGAGGGAGACGTGCGATTTTTCACTCCTCGTTTTCACTCGTTTGCTCGTTAGGGTTAGGGTTAGTTTTGTAATTAAATTTAATTCACATTTCACATGATTTCTATGTGATTAGCTGACAGGTACATTTCTTCTGTCACTGTACCAAAATTTGAGGTCAAATGATTAGGATCCATATCTTTATTACATTTAGATGAAAATTGTCTAAAAATATTGGCCCAAAATCTATGTAATTTAGGGCATCCCCAGAACATATGACTGATCTGCTCGTTCCAAACCACATCTGGGACAAGATGAATCTGAGTCACATACAGAAGATGAGTGTACCAGTTCTATGGCATATTTCCAGGCTGTATCTGATATTTCTAGTCCCAGTTCGTCTTCCCATTTCTGATTTATATGGTTTAGGGAAGGAGAGGGCAGTTCTTTGGATCACTTCATATAACATGGAAATCATACCCCTTTGATATGGGTCCATATTTACCAATTCATCTATCCAGCATGCTTCTGGTTGGTTCAGTGAAGGACAGAAGTGTTTTTTAATGAAACTATGGACCTGAGGGTACCTAAAAGAATTAGACTGGGGAATCTCAATGTCTGTTCTTAACTGTTAAATGAGATAAATATGCCATCTTTGAACAGGTCTTTAACACAGTTAACTCCCTTCCTAAACCAAAATTGGACTGCTGAAATCTATAATCTTGGCAATACAAACAGACACAGTCTGAAATAGAAACAGAAATCTTGGTAGTATTATCAGTTTAATGGAATTGATCTTCCCAGCCAAAGATAAAGGAAAGGTTGACCAGTGCGTCATGTCTCGTTTGACTTTGTCTAACGTCATTTAAAAATTATTATTAAACAAATCCTTATATTTACGTGTCACACTCACACCAAGATATACAAATTTATCAGGACTTGCTTAAAATGGAAAGGTTTGGGTAGACATTTGCTGTGCTCTATCATTGAAAGGGAAAAGGAGATTTTTTGCTAGATTGACTTTGTCTCAAGAAACATTTGCAAATTCTGAAATGATTGTAAGAGCTTTTGGAATGCATGTATCTGGAATTGACAGAAAAAAGTAGATCATCTGCATATAGCAGAAACTTATGTTCTTGTCCCTCTCTGAAAATTCCTTGCTAGCCATCTGAGTTCCTTAATTTGTTTGCAGGAGGTTTGATGACAATGTCAAAGAGCAGAGGGGACAGAGGGCAGCCCTGTCTCGTTCCTCTAGAGCAGGCATGTGCAAACTTGGTCCTGGAGGGCCAGTGTTCTGCAAAGTTTAGTTCCAACCCCAATCAGACACACCTGGACTAGCTAATCAAGCTTTTATGTCCCGTTTTCACTGAGTGGTTCGGTTTGGTACACTTTTATGGCCATTTCCACTGTCAAAAGGCGTATCGAACCAAACCATACCATACCACTTTTTTGGCACCCTTTCGAAAAGGTCCCAAACACTAAGGCCGTACTCACACTAGATACAGCTGCCTCGAACCGGGCCAAAGCGCTTGTCCCCCTCCCGTCTCCCCCGACGGCCCGCACTCACACCACAAACAGGCCTCTGCACACTTACGTCATCGCTGCTGCGCTGTTCAGTGAGAAGCGCTCTCTCACTCAACAGCACAGTGGAGATTTCTCTAGTTATATCGTTTCAGTCGTTTGATATGCAGTGACATGCAGTCGAATATTTCGCCAAACAGTCCTTAGGGATGCTGTGACACGCAGTCAGATATTTCGCCAAACAGATTCGCCACTTTTGGCGCTCATAAACAATCATAAAGCTCTCGTGCTGCAGGAATGAGGAGGTCTGCTGAAGCCACGCAGCTGTCGTGCTTCGAGGAGTTCTCGTCTGTAATAAACTACGGCAGTTTGCGTTCACTGAACAGTAAGAATGATTAATAAATCCATGTGTAACAGCCCCTTAAAAGTCACGTCTCGCTTTCAGTTTCGGGCTTTGGCGCGTTTTGCACTCACACACAAGCGTACCGTGCCAAAGCCCAAGTGAACCGCGCTAGGGCACACCTCTTCCAACCGGGCCAGGGCCGGCCAAGTGAACCGTGCTTGAGCCCGATTCACCGCACTCACACTTCTCAAACGATCCGGGAAACGGGCCTGGGCATGGTACGGATGGCATAGTGTGAGTAGGCCCTAAATGGCAGAGCTAGACGTGCAGCTGAACGCTATTGGTTTACAGAGATACATCATTCGTAGACACAAGCCAGAATCTTAACAAAGGACCCGCCATGTTTGAAATACACAGCGAGAGATTACGAGAGGCTCAAACAAACCCTGTCGTCGTCTTGATAAACCGCCACAAAGCCATGGAGAAGAGCAGATTTACCCTGTGCAGCGTAGTTTTTTACGAGCCGGTCTGAAGCCCGAGTGGTTTCGCTTTCTTCCTTACGCTCGCCACGCGTCTCTATTTGAAATAACAAACTTCTTGAGCTGATAATAATAACATGCGATTGATTATTGACAAGCTTTGGAAACCCGGTCCTGTGAGAAGCTGACAAACGCGGGACACATTCTGTGACACATTCAAAAAGAAAAGGACAAACGTTAAAATTCCTTCTTTTGTCAACTGATCTAAATCACAGAGGGATGGTAATTCTTAATAATTAAAAAAGCTCTCAATACATTCAATTTAGTTTACCTCAGAGTTGTAAAGAGTTTTATAGAAGTTTTTTAAATTGATCACTAATACCCTGTTTATCAGTAATAATACTGCCATCATCCTTACTAACTGCTGCTATAACACCAGCTGCTGAGGATTTTTTCAGTTAGTAACACAATAACCTGCCAGCTCATTCACCATGTTCATAATGAATCTGGCGTGATCTTATGTGGAGATCCTCAAGGAGTCATTCCGCTTGCAGAATGTAATGCAGATTGTAGCTGATCAATTGTATTATTTTTTTACATGACATTGTCCATCGCTGATGGCCAACAAACTTCACGATGCTTAGCCGGCATCACGATCCATCGCCCTGCCCCACATTTATATTGATATATAACTTATTATTTGCATGTCATCGTAATAGCAATAACAGTCTTTTTGTGAGCTGTGTTAAATGTTACATATAGCTGCTGCTTGCACGGCTGACAGCATCGTGAGGATTAAATAAAGGATTATACAATACCTCTTGCGCTTAAATGTGTAAATTCAGTGCCAAACACTGTTACCTGCAGACTTGAAGCCACTAGAAGTCTTTTATCCACTCTTGGAAAAGTGTAAATGGTGGATTAACATTCAGCACATGATCACTAAACAGATGCGCCGTTATTAATAACTTTAGGTAAATGTCTGTTATTTTCATTCTTTCATCTTCAGCGCTTCACATTTTCGCAGTTGTAGCTCCTATCATCTGAAGGCAGAAGGCATTGACTGAGTGATTGACAGCTGATATTAACCAATCATTTACATTCAGTTGTAGAGCAGTGAGCCAATAAGTAGAGCACAAAGGCGGGGCTAGCATTGCAGACTTTTTTACTTCAAGTTCACATAACAACTGTTTTAATCTGTTCTTGGTGCTGCGTTTGACGTTTTTAGGTGCAAAGATGCATTCTGCATAAATGTCTCCTAAATCTGCACACGCAGTGAGGATTTTACAGTGAAAACAATGAAAATGTATGCACTACACTGAACTCAAACCGAACTCTCGTGTTCTCAACCAGCTGTGGGAAAAGCCATTGTAATGACACAGATCACTGTGCCATGCCCGTAGCCAGGGGGTTTCGGGTTGTTCAAACGAACCACCCCCCATGGCCCCCATGTAATTTAATTTAATATTATATAATACATATTATAATTATTTATATTCTACATATATATTGTAATAAAGTGTGATTTTATATAACTTTGGCCAGTAATTAGAATCCCATTGAGCCTCAAAGCCACAATAAAGTGACGCGAGTCTTGTGACATAACCCACTGAGTGGTAACACTTGAATCTTTGATGTGACATCCTCCTTTGATACCTTAAACTTTTGCTCTCTTCTCTTGAGCCCCTTTCACACATGCAGACCTTTCCGGAAAATTACCGGCAATTTCCCGGAAAGGTTGTATGTGTGAACAGGTCCTTTTTGAAAATACCGGTAAATTCGTTCTGGCTATTTTCCGGAAAGAGAAGTTGTAACATTACCGGTAATTTGCCGGAATGCTACGCTGTGTGAATGCAGAAGGAAGATTGCCGGAAAGAGCGCGTGCACGTCTAGAACGTGCTGATGTGAGACGTCTGCTTGAGCCAATCAGAACAGTCAGACGCGTTTAGTCCGTGCGGTTTATGAGAATAAAAGCCTTTGAATATTTTCCCAGACGCATTTAGCTGCTAGAAGTTAGTCAGATAATGTTTATATGTTCTTGTTAATGCCAACTGTGTAAATAATCATCGATGAGATGCTTATGGTAAGCCGCCGTTTGTTTACCTTCACGCTTAGCGTGTGCCTGTGAAACAGCCTGTGAGCGCCAGCACACGCACATATTATGAACATCTCGACATGCCAAAGTGATCCTCCATATGTTTTCTTCGAAGTTGTTCACAACACTGATCATCCACAGAGTTTGTAATGTAGTCAAATGTTTACAAATACAAGCGCAGCCGTTTAAGGCTCATTTGTGGTAAATGATGTCAGAATTTACCGGTATTTTGGAATGGATTTGTGAAAGGTCTTTTCTGGAAATTTTCCGTAACGTCCTCGCCTGTGTGAACAGCACTTTTTTGAATATACCGGTAAAGTCGTTCCGGAAATTTTCCGCATATTTACCGGTATAACTGTGTGAAAAGGGCTTTGATCTGTATTACAGATTATCTCTTGTCATCTGGTTTTATATGCAGTCACAGGAGCTCTCGTTTGCCTTTTTTTCTGTTTATACCACATCATTCCCCTTCATGTTTGTCAGTATGTTATCGATCATTTCTGTGCATATTATTTTGTTACTCACCCTGTATGTTTCCAAGACCACCAGTGAGTGAGTGTCTGGTTGTTTTTTCCTACGGCACTTCCTCAGCGCTCACCCGACCGGGTGTTTACTTTGACTTTTGCTTTTTCCAAGACTCGCTTCTCAATAAAGACTTGCATTTGAGCTCACTCTTTTTTTAACTCGTGACACAAGTATTTTCTTTCTCATTTGTGTTTAAAGGTCTTTAGATTTTGGCATGATGTCTAGCTTTGAGGCTTTTTTTGGTCTACTTCACTTTGTCAGACAGGTCCTATTTTGGTGATTTCTTGATTGCGAACGTGTGTGGTAGTATTCAGGTCTGGGTGTGGCTAGAGAGCTTGAAGCAGGTGTGATAAATTAAAATTGTTCTAATGGGAATTTTTTTTTCACACAAGTCAGTGTAGTTCAGTATTTTGTCTTCAATTTAAGAATAAAAACCTTGATTTAAAAACTGCACAATGTGTTTAATTGTGTTATCTTTGACTAATATTTACATTTGTTTGATGATCTGAAACAGTTAAGTGTTAGATTTCTGCATTGCATTTGTTACAGATTACATACCTCTAGAACATTTCTCATTTAAAGGTGCAGATTTAAAGCTTTATGCAGATATTATACATGTCATATATGTCTATGAGGCAAATATTAGCAGAGATTCAGCTGTTTTTTTAACAGGTTTACCAGTCAGGCACAGACTGAAAAAGCATTCCATATCTGCTTTACAAGTTTTACAAAAACAAACTGTTTTGTTGTGATTACGAATATATACAAATATAAACTGGCCATTTACAGCTTTCAAATTTTTGTCTCATCAATATAACCAAAATTAATCTGGGAATAATCATATAAGAATCTGCTTAAATGTGTATCTGTGTAATGGACTCCAGGAGGTAAATATGACAAGATCAATCTAAATATGATCTGCTATGTCTTTACATTTAATGTGCATCAAAATTAAGATTTGTGTAGCCAATGTTTTCACTTCCTTTTCACTGAGTTTTAATGATTTACTAAAAAGTGAACTTATTTTTATTTCAGACCTAATTAAAGACTACGAGGAGAGTAAAGAGGAAGAACATCATGTCAAAATTGAGGACAAAACTCATTTAGAGACTGATTGTGTGTTAAAAGTGAGAGACAAGAGTTGTTTTACCTGCACTCCGTGTGACAAGAGTTTGGCAAGCAAAAGCAAATTAAAGACTCACATGAGGATCCACACTGGAGAGAAACCATTTACATGCACTCAGTGTGGGAAGAGTTTTAGCAAATCATCATCGCTTTATAGACACATGAAGATCCACACCGGAGAAAAACCATTCACTTGCACTCATTGTGGGAAGAGTTTCAACCACTCATCATTCCTTAATCTACACATGAGGATCCACACTGGAGAGAAACCATTAACATGCCCTCAGTGTGGGAAGAGTTTTAGCAAATCATCGTCGCTTTATAGACACATGAAGATCCACACCGGAGAAAAACCATTCACATGCACTCAGTGTGGGAAGAGTTTTAACTGCTCATCATCCCTTAATAAACACATGAGGATCCATACCGGAGAAAAACCATTCACTTGCACTCAGTGTGGGAAGAGTTTCAGCCACTCATCATCCCTTAATCAACACATGAGGATCCACACTGGAGAGAAACCATTCACATGCCCTCAGTGTGGGAAGAGTTTCATCAACTCATCACACCTTAATCAACACATCATGATCCACACTGGAGAGAAACCATTCACATGCACTCAGTGTGGGAAGAGTTTTAACTGCTCATCATCCCTTAATAAACACATGAGGATCCATACCGGAGAAAAACCATTCACTTGCACTCAGTGTGGGAAGAGTTTCAGCCAATCATCATCCCTTAATCAACACATCATGATCCACACTGGAAAGAAACCATTCACTTGCACTCAATGTGGGAAGAGTTTTAGCCAATCATCATACCTTAAAAACCACATGAAGATTCACACTAGTGTAAAAGAGTATGTGTGCTTGGAGTGTGAGAAGACTTTTATTACAGCTGCAGAATTGAAACGGCACCAGAGGATTCACACTGGAGAAAAACCGTACAAGTGTTCACACTGCAGTAAGAGGTTTACTCAATTAGGAACCCTGAAAACACATGAGAGGATTCACACTGGAGATAAACCGTACAAGTGTTCACACTGCAGTAAGAGGTTTACTCACACAGGAACCCTGAAAAAACATCAGAGGATTCACACTGGAGATAAACTGTAGACATGATCAGTGTGTACTAGTGTTGGGTACCGAAACCCGGTGCCATTATAGCACCGGTACCTTGGTAACTGGTATGTACCGGTATTAAATCAGCGTTTGAATTTCGGTGCTGCGGGATGGACGTGAGGGGTGCATGAAAAAAGGCACATATAGGCGTTGCGTCACAGCATCACTAAACATTTAATTCTAAACAACTTTGAGGAATACCGACAGGCGATATCAGGCAATTGTTATTGTCGCTAGGGAACAGATGCACGCAACGTTCAGAGTACAGAGCATTTAGCCTGGAACCAGTGGTTTTCGGTGAGCGAGAGCGACACTCTTCAGATCAACATGCATGATCACGTTCATCCAATTTGCTTAAACTAAGCATTCTAAAGCGTATTTTACAAGCAAGGATTCTTACACAGCAACTGTCTTTACAAAAAGTGTGTGTAAGGGGGAAACATGTCAAACTTAATGACACATTTGGGGGCTCAAAGGCAGAGCCTCTCTTGCGTGCTTTAGCTACATTTACATTTAGTCATTTAGCAGACGCTTTTATCCAAAGCGACTTACAAATGAGGACAAGGAAGCATTTTACACAACTAAGAGCAACAATGAATAAGTGCTATAGGCAAGTTTCAGGTCTGTAAAGTCTAAGAAGGGAAGTATTAATGGTATTAGTATTTTTTATTTTTTTTTATTTTTGTACAGTTAGTGTGATATTCAAAGAGGCAACTGCAGATTAGGAGGTGAAGTGGAGACTAAATAGTTGAGTTTTTAGTCGTTTCTTGAAAGTAGTGAGTGACTCTGCTGTTCTGATGCAGTTAGGGAGTTCATTCCACCAACTGGGCAGATTGAGCGTGAGCGTTCGTGAAAGTGATTTCTTCCCTCTTTGGGATGGAACCACGAGGCGACGTTCATTCACAGAATGCAAGTTTCTGGAGGGCACATAGATCTGCAGAAGTGAGAGCAGATAAGAAGGAGCAAGGCCAGAGGTCACTTTGTAGGCAAACATCAGAGCTTTGAATTTGATGCGAGCAGCAACTGGCAGCCAGTGCAAACAGACTAGCAGCGGAGTGACATGCTCGTTTAGGTTTATTGAAGACAACTCGTGCTGCTGCATTCTAGAGCAGTTGTAGAGGCTTGATAGAGTTAGCTGGAAGCCCAGCTAGTAGAGAGTTGCAGTAATCCAGTTTGGAGAGAACAAGAGCTTGAACAAGGAGTTGAGCTGCATGTTCAGATAAGAAGGGTCGGATCTTTCTGATGTTATAGAGTGCGAATCTGCACGATCGAGCAGTTCTAGAAATGTGGTCAGAGAAGTTTAGTTGGTCATCAATAATTACTCCAAGGCTTTTCACCATTTTGGATGCAGTAATGGTTGCCCCATCCATCTGGATTGAAAAGTTATGGTGTAGAGACGAGTTGGCAGAAACTACAAGCATTTCCGTTTTTGCGAGATTCAGCTGAAGATGATGATCTTTCATCCAGTGTGAAATATCCAACAGGCAGGCTGAGATGCGAGCTGGAACCGAGGGATCATCAGGATGAAAAGAGAGGTATAGCTGGGTATCATCAGCATAGCAGTGGTAGGAGAATCCATGTCTCTGGATGACTGGTCCTAGAGATGAAGTGTAGATGGAGAAGAGAAGTGGCCCCAGAACAGAGCCTTGAGGTACCCCAGTGTTTAGATGCTGTAGGTTGGACACCTCTCCCTTCCAAGACACCCTGAATGACCTGTCAGAGAGGTAAGATCTGAACCATTGTATAACAGTGCCCGCAACGCCCAGTGACTCGAGCGTAGATAGCAGGATCTGGTGGTTGACAGTGTCAAAAGCAGCTGACAAGTCCAGCAAGATGAGGACTGATGATTTAGAGTCTGCTTTAGCCATTCTGAGATCCTCCACGACCGAGAGCAGGGCAGTCTCAGTTGAGTGGCCTTTCTTAAAGCCGGATTGCTTGTTGTCCATGAGATTGTTTTGAGTAAGAAAGTCCAGAACTTGATTGAACACTACTTTCTCCAGAATCTTGGCCATGAATGGAAGCAGGGATACTGGTCTGTAGTTTTCAAGTAGCGTATGGTCCAGGTTGGGTTTCTTTAGCAGTGGGGTTACCCTAGCCTGCTTAAACGAAGTGGGGAATAAACCAGAGTCAAGAGATGTGTTAATTATGTGAGTCAGTGTTGGTATGACTGCAGGAGAGATGGCTTGCAAGAGATGGGAGGGAATGGGATCGAGTGGACAGGTGGTTGCATGGCTAGATAGCACGAGTTTAGACACCTCAGACTCAGAGAGCTGGGAAAAAGAGGTGAGTGTGTGAGGTGTTGGTGTTGTATCTTGCATGTTTGTTGTAGGTGCAGCAAATTGAGCACTGATTTTTGCAGTTTTGGTGCAAAAGAATGTAGCAAATTCATTAGTAGTAAGTGTGGAGGAGGAGGATAGAGGAGGGAGGAAAATGTTTTAAAAAGTAGGCGAGGATTAGTGGCGTTGTTGATTTTCAGACTGTAATATGTCTGCTTTGCAGAAGTAACCTCAGCTGAGAAAGAGGACAGAAGTTTGGTATGTTAAGAGCTGTGCAGGATTTTTAGTTTTCCGCCAAATTCTCTCTGCAGCCCGCAGTTTTGAGCAATGCTCACGGAGAGCATCCGAGAGCCAGGGTGCAGGAGGACTGGCACGGGCTGGCCTGGATGCAAGAGGACATAATCGGTCTAGACATGATGCTAGTGTGGAGCAGAGTGTATTAGTGGCACTGTTCGAATCAAGTACAGTGAGTTTGCGAGATGGAGGAAGAGAGTCCGAGACAATGGTGGATAGTCTATTGGGTGAGAGAGATCGTAGGTTTCTGCGAAAGGTAACCAGTGTTGGAGTGTGTGGCGGCTCAGGAGTAATGTGGATGTTGAGAGACAGAAGGAAATGATCAGATATTTGTAGTGGAGTTACTATTGTTTGATCAGTGAAGCAGTGTCGTGTGTAAATAAGGTCTAGCTGATTACCTGATTTGTGGGTAGCAGAAGTAGGTGCTCTTTTTAGGTCAAAAGAGGCAAGCAGAGTCTGAAAGTCTGCAGCTTGCGGTTTGTCAACGTAAATGTTGAAGTCACCCAGCACCAACAAGGGAGTGTCAAAATTAGAAAAAGATGAGAGAAGAACATCCAGTTCATCTAAGAAGTGACCTAATTTACCTGGTGGGCGGTAGATGACAACCACATTTATGTAGAAGGGGTGGATAATGGTGACTGCATGGAATTCAAAGGAGCTGATTGTTGGCAGGGACGGTATCAGAGTAAATTTCCATTCTTTGGAAATTAGTAGTCCCGTCCCACCCCCTCTCCCTGTCTGACGAGGAGTGTGGGAAAAAGAGAAATTAGCAGAAAGAGTAGCATGTGTAGCAGTGTCCTCCGGCCTCAACCAGGTCTCAGTTAGAGCCATGAGATTATAGTCAGAATAATCTCCGGAGGGAGCATAAGCTCCCTCCGGCACTCGCTTATGCTCGCTCCCTCTGTTTTCTTGGCACTATGCTATCTCTGTGACGGCGCTGCGCGCATCAGTTCCCCGCACTCGTCAGAAGTTGATGCCCAAATTGACACAGGGAATAAAAAGATTAAACTTCAGTTATGTTCATGTTGTGAAACACTATCAAAATGTCCACCGTTGATTATATTAGACTTCTGTTTTCAATAGCGATTTTAACTCTTAATATAGGAAGTCCTCGGCTATGCAGAGACCATTATTAATCAGAAATCTAGTGTACATAATTTAACATTAGGAAATGCAGTCTTGAATTTAAAAACATTCAGCTTTTATTCATGAAATAAACAATAAGAAATAGGACTTATTTTGACTCCAGAATAATTATGTTTTAGGAAACACTGTAAAAGTTTTCAGAAAGAATATTTTAAATGAATGGGAGAGCAAAATAAAATTACTTCAACTGTAGGCCTGTTAAAGTGTACAGGTGCAGCAATGTGCCTTGATGTACTTGAATGTTAGAAATGTGTTCTCCTACACCAGTACAACGTTACTTGTCAAATAAATGAACAAGGAAGATTATTTTGAGTTTAAGTTATTTAATTATCTTGTTTATGAAGACTGCAGAGTGATGCATGAAAACAAATGACTTCCAATAATGTTTTAAGTATTTTGTGATATATATGTTAAAATGTGCTCCTAAAAGTATGTGGCCCCTGCCCGCCCCCCATAGGTAAATAGTAAGCTAATGTAATTTCATAATGCAAATATTAAATTCATGCTAACCAACAAATGAAATGTATTAATGTAATACAATATTAACTGATGTTTACTTTAAATTGTAATTATATTGTTCTATTAAAATTATTTTGAAAAAATCATTTGTCAAATAAAATATTTTTGAAGAGTCGTCCACCATCATTTTGTGGCTAAAAAGTGTTGATTCAGGCACCGTTTTGGCACCGGTATTGTTTTAAAAGTATCAATTTAGCACCGGTATCGAAAAACCAAACGATACCCAAACCTAGAGTTTCACTCATTCGGGGCAGCTTAAGAAGCTGAGAAAGAGAGCTCCTATACACACTGGTATTAATCTTCCTTTTTACGTCATATATGATAACCTAAACCATATTTAAATAACAATAGGCACAGCGAGAAAGGGCTTTTTAAAGAAGGAAGGCTTTCCCCTCACATTAAGAAGTTATTTAAGACTTCAAGGTTTGGAGATCTTTTTCGTAATGTTTTTTATGTGGTTCAAGATATTCATGTTTGTGTTTTTCATGTTCCGATCACAGTGATCTTCGCAAAAACATCTGATTATGCAAAAACAGAAATATAGAGTAATTACTTTGAATATTAATGGGTTACTAAATCCTATTAAAAGAAGCAAACCTGTGGCTAAAATTAAAAGAGAAAACCAACAGATAATCTTCTGGCAAGAGACATCTTTCTGATACAGAACATAGGAAATCAGAAACAATGGGATTTAGTTT